CACCACATTTTTCTTATGCAGCCATCCATCGATGAACACTTATTTTGAGCTATACTCCTTAATTGCCACCAAACCCCAAACAAAGACTATGACCAATTGGACTTGAATACTATTAAATACTATTCAACACTATTAAACTGTCTATATTGCCTGAGCTTTGGTTTGTTTGATTTAGATTGGTTTAGTTCATGGAAGCTTTTGTTAAGGAGCACACTTCGGTCTTTTGGTATTATTCTCCTGATAGTCATCGTGATAGTCCCTCTGGTGTGCTATATGCTCTCAAAGTCTTAAGTGTCTACATGCAGACATCTGCTGAATGGTAAGTGCTCTCACTGGCAGAAATGACAAAAACTTCAAGAAATGCATAATAACAAGACACTGTAACCTATGAATGATATGCTGAGTCCAAAAATTCAAGAGGTTGACTGAGAGTAGCATTGATGACCTAAGTTTTGGTGAGAGTGTAACCAAAAGAGGAGAATCATTAAATTAAGTTTAATCCTGGGGATGCCTTTATACTTGAGCCCTTACATACCGAACTGCAACCCGGCTTGCTACGTAGGCTAACTACAGCCTCACTTAGGAGAATGCTCCCGTAGCAAGTGGCTGAGTCGGTCAATCAGAACAGCTGAGCTTCAGCCAATCGCAGGCGGCCGCTGACTCAAAGATGGCAAAACACTGAGATGCAGCCACCTAAGCTGTCTGTGTAACTCACTTCTGGTTTTTGTCCATAAACGTGGTCTGACCACATTGCAGTCCCAGAGTTTTCTGAATCCGTTACGGTTCTGACGGCTGCCCAATTCTAGAGTCGTGAACAGACCTTTAAACTAAATTTGTTGTAGTTTTGCCTTTGGCACAACTAAGGACTGTGGGGACCTAGTTCTTGCCAAGATGTGGCTCTATGTTAAAAATAGAGAAAACTGTAATTGAAAAAATGTGTGATTAATTATTTTGCAGGAGATGCATTGATTTCCTTAGGAATAGGATATGATTTAAAATTTGAGCCTCTGAGAACGTGAAGCCACATCTTGTTCATAATTTTATGGCTGGAAATGGCATAATCTCTAGCTTCCTAGAGGCTGGGGTTGGGCAGGGGAGGGATGCACTGCCGTGCCTGTGTGAGCTCCCTCCGGAAGGTGTGGGTTACAGAGGCGGTACTGAGATGCGATTAAGGGAACAGGGTCCGCACCCGCCACCTCCCACCCCTGCTAGATAGGATGTGAATCGGACCAGTTACTTAACCTCTCTGAGACTCAGCTTTCTCGTGAGAGTAAGATAACACCAATAATACTGATAATAAAGTACTAGATAAGAGTGGTGAGGGGTGACAGAGATACCACACGCTGTGCATCAGTCCGGCAAGGCGTCCGTTCGGATCCCCTCCCGCTGACGCCTCTCTAGTTAGTGCTGAATGTTCAATGACACCGGGGCTGTTTGGGAATCATTATCACTAGTGATTATTCATAGAGCACCCACAGGTGCTGAGTCTCTGAGTCTCTGATGCTCTTCAAGGCACTGTGGAGAATACCAAGACATAGACCCACCCTTTAAGAAACGTGTGAGAACTTGGGTCATCTGAAATGTCTATGAAAAAACCCCACTGTGTTCACGGGGCCTTTAACGCTGGCCTGTCTTCAGGTCACATTTGCTGGTCCTCTCTCTTTGCCACCGCCCTCCATGGCTGTTTCACACCTTCTCCTCTCTCCTAAACCTCCACCATGCTCAGGCAATGACCTTGCCTCCTATTTCACTGAGAAAACAGAAGCCGCCAGAAGGAAATGTCTTCAAGTGCCACATCCGTCACCTAACAGCAATGGTGGCTGCATACCTGCCACCCCCGCATCCATTGCACCCTGCCGAACTGTCCCCATAGCAGCCAAATATGCTGGGATTTTTCCCAGCTTGAAAAACCTCTTCTGTTGACCCCACTTCCCCATCCAGCTACCACCCAACTTCTCTCCTTTTCCATACAGCAAAACTCCTAAGGGTGTCTACACTGCTTGTCTCCAACTTCTCTCCTCTTATTCCCAAACACGCTTTGTTCCCATCACTTGCCAAAACGGCCCTTGGTATGGTCACCTGTATCTACCAAGCTGCACATTGCCCAACCCAAGGTCACCCCTGAGACATCATCTGACTTGGTCCATCAGTAACATTGGCATGGCTGAGCGCATGGCTGGACTCAGCCTGCCCGTGGCTCCATCTCTTTCCCCTCTGGCCTCTGTGTGCTGCTGGTTACCTGTAGGGTGGCCCAGGATGGCCTGGAGGCTGAAGATCTGTGCTAGAAAGACTCCAAAGATGACGAAAACCTCAGTCATTGGTGCTAATGTGCCCCTTAGGTTCTTGGGAGCCAGTTCTCCCAGGTACATGGGAAGAGCACTGTAGGAGATGCCCGGAGAGCAAAAAGCAAAACTTAGTGAAGACTAGCACTGGCCTCCTGTGAAACGAGAGCCTGGGATTTAATTTGGTTCCATCTCATAATCCCTGAGCTGCTCCGTGGTGTCACCCCCTACGTGGAGCTGGAAACAGGCCAATCTTGACTGTTTAGTTTGAATTTACAACAAAATCCTTCCAGAATCCTCATTCCCCCCATGAAGATATCACCAGGGCTTGGGGATACCCTTTCCTTCCTACCTGCTGGGCTCAGCCACTTGCTACAGAGAAGAGTCTGGCCTGTCTCCGAACGATGGGACTTAAAGATAACTCTTTTGCTTTAATTTAACTTCTGGTTTTTCTAAAGCACAGATTACTTGTGTAACTTTTCCTTTTTTTAGTAGGAGAAACCACTATTGTTACAAAACCTTCCTTGCCTGCTGACTGAGAAACTTGCTACAGAGAAGAGTCTGGCCTGTCTCCAAACGATGGGACTTAAAGATAACTCTTTTGCTTTAATTTAACTTCTGGTTTTTCTAAAGCACAGATTACTTGTGTAACTTTTTCTTTTTTTAGTAGGAGAAACCACTATTGTTACAAAACCTTCCTTGCCTGCTGACTGAGAAACCAAATTCTGTATTCCTTTTGCTTGAAGCCCCTTATCCTCAGTTTAATCTATACATCCTACTTGGAAGAAACCTTATAAAATATTATAGGTTATTTATACTTCAAAGTAAAAGTGTATTCTTTTAAAAAATTTTTTCGACTGGTAAGGGGATTGCAACCCTCGGCACGATGTGGTCTGCACCACACAGCCAGTGAGTGCACCGGCCATCCCTATAGAGGATCTGAATCCGCAGCCGCGGCACTACCAGCGCCGCACTCTCCCGAGTCAGCCACGGGGCCGGCCCGTAAAAGTGTCTCTCTAAAGATCCTTCCCTGATAGACGATTTTGTTAAAAGGAAGGGACTAGAAAACATGAGGTTTGCAAGGGCTTGGGAATAGAGACAGGAGGATGCCCTGAAAGAAAAAAGAGGCAGATGGGGCCAGCAAGATGTTTCATCCACCCTCGCCTTTCACCTTGACCAATGGTGCTGGGCACATATGTCTCAGAGACCCTTCCCCTGACAGGTGAGCCTGAGCCTGGGCCTGAGGCTTCAGCTATCACTCCAGATACCTGCACAGACTCCCAGCATCACTCAAGAAAAGATGATCAGCTCAAAAGCCTTGGCTGCTTTGCTGATTCCCATCAGGATGGAGGGGACGATGGTGAAGACGTTATTGATCAGCAGAGTTCCCTTTCTGCAACAACAGCAGGGAACAGAGGGCAGGGGGACAGGAAGGGCAGAGGTTCTCCTGATACCAACTCATAATCTCCAGGCTGGTCATGGCAGAGGTGCTGGGAATGTGCCTGAAAAGGGTGATGGATGGAGCTGTGTACTGAATTGTGTCCCCCAAATTAATATGTTGAAACCCTCACTCCCAATGTAATGATATAAGGAGGTGGAACCTCTGAGAGGTGAATAGGTCATGAGGTAGGAGCCCTCGTGTTGGGATTAGTGCCTTCATAAAGAGATAGGCAAGAGATCTCTCTCTTTCTCTGCCACGTGAGGACGCAGCCAGAAGGCTGTCTGCAAGCCAGGAAGAGAGCCCTCGCCAGAGCCTGAATTTGCTGGCAAATTGATTTTGGACTCCATGACTTTGAGAAATAGATGTCTCTTGCTTAAGCCACCCAGTCTATGGTATTTTGTTATAGCAGCTGAGCTAAGACAGATAAGAAGAGTCAGCAGAAGTCCCAGGAAGAAAGATTTGGGGTCAGCGGGGGTGGGGTAGAGTAGGGGAGTATATTGGTCTGTTTTATGTTGCTGATAACAAAGAAGAAGGCGCTTATCAGACATGCCTCTTGGGCCTTAGACTTCTCAGCTTCTAAAACTGTAAGAAATAAATTGTGTTTTTTATGAATTACCCAATTTCAGGTATTCTGTTATCAGCAACAGAAAATGGACTAATACAAAAAATTGATACTCATGGGGTTTTGCTTATAACAAATTTCTGAAAATGTGGAAGCAGCTTTGGAACTGGGTGATGGGCAGAAGCTGAAGGAATGTGGAGAATCAGGCTGTATAAAGCCTAGATTCCAATGGGGGTTTAGAAGACAAGAGTACTAGGGAAAGCTTGAAACTTATTAGAGATTGGTCAAGTGGTGGTGACCAGAATGTTGATAGAAATATGGATAGTAAAGGCCACTCTGAGGATGTCTCAGATGAAATTGAAGAGGAATTCATTGGAAATTGGAGCAAATGTCACCCTTGTTATGAACTGGCAAAGAACCTAGCTGGATTGTGGCCATGCTTTAGGGCTTTATGGAATACAGAACTTAAGAGGGATGAACTAGGATATTTGTTGGAAGAAATTTCTAAGCAACAGATCATTTAGGCAGTGGTATGGCTACTTCTAACAGCTCGTGCTGAATTATGGCAGGAGAGGCATGATGTAAAGCCAAAATTTACAATTAAAAGGGAAGCAGAGGGTAACAAATTGGAAAACTCTCAGCCTGACCATGTAAAGAGTAAAGAAGTGTGTTCAGGAGAGAAAACCAAGGGTGTAGCCCAGCAACTGTCTGCTAGAAGAGGGAAAGGATCATGAAGAGACTGGAAGAAAGACCTTGAAGGTATTTCAGACATCTTAGAGGCTGCCCCTCCCTTCACAGGCCCAGAGTTTCTGGGAACTGGCCTAAGGTGCTCTCCAGAGGCTCAGTGCCCAGAGCCACATTGGGATGCTGCTCAGTGCTCCAGCCGTGTCTAAATTGTCCCCAGGTGCTGCTGGACCTGCTGCCTCAGACGATACCAGCTGGAAGCCTTGGTGGCATCCACTAAGTCTGCAGGCTCACAGAATGCCAGAGCTGTGGAGGCACAGCAGCCTCCACTCAGATATCAAAGGATGTATGGAAAGGCTTGAGGGCCCAGGAAGAGATCTGTTGCAGAGGGCAGATTCACTGCAGAGAGCCTCCACTGAGCAAAGCGGAGTGGAAATGTGGGGTCGGAGTTGGACTAGGGATCTCTGGGATCCCTTCCAAGGCTGAAAAAACTACAAGTTATAAAGGGGACCCCACTGGACAAGGCTGGCTCCACCGCAGTTCCTGGGCTGAGGCTCCTCGTCTGCAAAATGAGGGTGGTGATAAGACAGTCTTTGAGGTTTCTTCACCCCCAAACTTCTGTGATGGTGGGGTTCAGACAAGGAGATGGACTCCAAGCCTGGGCTTCTAGAATAGTCCAATCACTCTTGGTACAACTGAGAACAGCACATGCTGAATTGCAAAAAAGCCTGAATTATGGCATAACCACAATACATTGAAATTTTTCATTCAAGTGCATGAAGTATGGCAAATGAATTGTTAATCAAGTATTTACAAGAGGTCCCATGGATCTGCAGTAATAAATAGGTCATTAATTTTCAACTGGCAAACTTTTATTTTATGCATAAAAACTGAATTGCTGAGTTTCCTTAAAAATTAGTTTTCATTAGAAGGCTTTCTACTCACGTCTACAAACTACCTAACTTGGCACATCGAGTCCAAGTGTAAACGGTGAATTCCAAATGAGTGGGGTCTGACCAACGGAATGCCACCATGCCTCGCCCTGAGACCTTGGCTCACCCTTCTCCTTCCTGGGAACCTTGTGCATCCTTCCCCATCTGTGGAGTCAGGTCTTTGCAGCACCTGGGCTTAGGCTGGAAGATTAGCAAATCCACGTGAGCCAAGCAAAGTACAAAGACCCATTCTTCATTTGCAAGCAAGATACGAGACAGTGGCACGTGGAGTGACTAGTGTGAACCCCAGACCTCAGAGCAGCAGGCTCTGACAGGCTGTTCAGGGAGAGGCTGAAGCTGTCAGAACTTGGAGCATGGGTCGCCTGACCCTGGGATGAAACCCAGTCAGCAAGCATTTACCGAACACCTGCAAGAAGTGCCTACAGGGCACTAAGCTGAGCACCGTCAGGAACTTTGATCTCAAAGTCTGCACCAGCTCTGAGGTAGGATGGGAGGGAATGCTTTTCCTGTGCAGCCGACTAGGAAAGAAATCCCAGAGAAATTCAGGGACTAGCTTTAGGGTCGTGATGTCTGTGGCAAAGTGGAGACTGGATTCAGATCTCTGGATTTTGGGTTTTGGGGGTCACACGATCTCCTACCATGTGCACAATTGCCAAGACACAGTGTGGTTTACTCATGTGAACTTCAAGTGAGAGAAGTACACCTGTTTACCTGCCACACTTATCAATCAGCAGGCCAACAAGCAATGACCCCAACAAGCCACCCAGAGGAAACATGGATACAGTGCAAGACCACAGAAGCAGCATGACTTTCTCATCCATGAATGTTCCGTGTCGCTCAAAATAGGTTTCGTTATAAAATGATTTCAAGACCTGGAAAATGATGCCCCGGTCACAGCCAAGAATATTGTGCAATTCATGACAAATGATGACATAGTGTTCTCAGTCGCCGACTGTCATTGCACAGAATGATGTTACTGCCAGTACCCCTAGGACACAATTGAAAATTTTGATTCTCTGCTGTTACCTGAAAATAAAAAAACCTACTGTCTGATGGATTGAGATTAGGAACCAGATTGCCCACAAAACAATGGTTAGAAATTTACTGTTAAAAAAATCACTTTTGGGCTGGCCCGTGGCTCACTCGGGAGAGTGTGGTGCTGATAACACCAAGGCCCCGGGTTCGGATCCCACATAGGGATGGCCGGTCAGCTCACTGGGTGAGTGTGGTGCTGACAACACCAAGTCAAGGGTTAAGATCCCTTTACCGGTCATCTTTTAAAAAAAAAAAAAATTCACTTTTTTAAAGCTTTACTCTTCCAGAGGCAACAAAGGAAATATGCTTACTAATTGTGTGACTTTGGGCAAATTATATAACCTCTGCAAACCTTAATTTCTTCATCAGTTATGGAAATAATATATATCTCAGAGAGAATCTGTGAGCATTAAATGGGATGTGATTGCTTAACTTAGAATAGATATTCCATCAATGGTAATAAATATACTAATATATGTACATATGTGGAATGCACACATATTTAATGTATACACACACATATATGTATGTGTACATGTTAATATGTGTTTATAAGTATATTAATATGTGCCCCGAGAAACTACAGTAGTACCTCCTCTAAAGCAGTAGCTATAAATTAATGACATTGATTTTAAAAAATACAGCAGTTTGACAAAATAAAAATTTAATGAAAAAAATAAAAAAATTAAAAAATAAAAAATACAGCAGAACTCACATCCCCAAATGAATGGTAACTCTACCTGCACCACCTGAGATATGGGTCCTGTCCCCTCTGCCCCTTCAGGAATGTCCTGCCTGCTATTGTCCTGTCTGTCCCGCGTGATTGTCCTTTTCCTGTCTGTGCATCCTTCCTGTCAGAACACAAACATGCCTCCACCCTATAAAAACCTAACTTGACCCCCTGATCTGCCTGCACTAAGCATCATTTTTGGCTTTCCTGTACAGCAAAACTGCCTCATAAAGTCTTGGCCATTTCTGCCTTTTCCACCTCTTCTCCCATGAACTCACTCCAGTCAAGCTTTTGTCTTCAGACGTCACCTCAGCTGCCCTTGTCAAGGTCATTATGCCCTCCATAAGGTCAAATCCGTGGTCAGTTCTCAGTCCTCATCTGGACTCATCAGCTCAGCCTGTCCCTTCTCTCTTGACTCACATTCTTTACTAGACCTTGGGGACGTTCTGATTTCAGCTTCTCCCCCACCTGACAACAGTCTCTCCTCTTTTTCTTTGGCTTTCCCTCATCCCAATCTCAAGTCCTAAATGCTACAGGGTCCATCCTTGACCTCATTCTCTTTGCCATCTACAGGTGCCTTCCCAGGGTGAGGCCAGTGGGGCTGAGGCTGAAAGAGACTGAGCAGGGATTCCAGGTCTCCCCAGTGTCCAATGTGCCCGGAAAGGGTGACATTCCTAGGAGAAATACCTCTAGTCATCCCCAGTCTCCAGAGCTGGGCATCCAGTTGAGTACTAGGGGAAGATGGTGACCTCTGCAGAGGATGATGGCAGCTGCCCCCCACCCCTCGGGCCCTGCTGGGCTGCCCACTGGCCCACCTTGTGTGGCGTGTTGACCACAGTGATGTTGTAGCCATACTGGAAGGCCGAGCCAAAGGCTGCCGCTGAGTGTTGCCAGCACCAGTGTGGGCTGAAGCTGCTGTGGGAGATGAGGACCAAGGTCAGGGACACTATGGGGTTAGTCGTTGGTCCTTGGGATCTCCAGAAGTGGCCTTCACTTCCCTGCACCTTGGACCAGAAGTAGGAGTTAGGGGAGCCCAGATTGTGCCCAGGGAAGGAGCAGGAGTTGGCTGGTTGGAGAAGGCAGCCCAAGGCCGGGGTCCCTCAAGGATCCGAGGCTTCTGGGGGCGTGGATGACATCATTTCCTGTTCCTGTGCATACATTCATACCCCCCCCCCTTGGAAGACATATTTGAACACATCCATTGTGCCTGGCCCTGTTCCATGCCGGAGATGAAATATGAAGTAGCGGATGCTTCAGGGGAAAGGCCCAGCTTATGAAGCTTACTTTCTAGTGAAAGGACAAAATGACAAATACAACAATTCCAAACAGTGATAATTCTATGAGGACAAAAAAACTGGGTGATGATGGATGGGATAGAAACCAATGGGGGACGAGGGGCCACTTTCTGTTGGGTGCATAGAGAAGACGTCTCTGAAAAGTGCCATTTGAGATGAGGCCTGAGACCATGAGATGGGGTAGCCATGCGAGTATCTGGGAAAAGAACATTCCAGACAGAGGGAGCCACAGACAGAGGCCCTGGAGGACACAGCAGCTTACCTTTGGCTCCAGAACAGACACTTAGGAAAACCAAGTGCAGTGGACTGAATGGCCCCCCAAAGTCAGTGAGGCTTAATCCCCACCGTAACTGTTGAGGGAGGGGAACCCTATTGTGGTAACTGAAAGGTGGGGCCTTGAAGAGGTGATTAGATTGTAGGACCGGGCCATACTGAATGGATTAATAATGGTGGTCAGGGGCATGGCTCTGGGGGCTTTGAGAGGAGAGTGTGTGAGAGTCTCTCTCTGCTCTGCCACTCTGCCATGTGGACACCCTGCGTGGCTGTGGAATCACCTCACCAGATGTGTTCCCTGGACTGTGGACTTCCCAGCCTCTGAAACTGTAAGCAACAAACATTGTTTCCTTATAAATTACCCAGTTTCAAGTATTGTGTTATAAGCAACAGAAACTCATATGCCAAGGCAACCCCTGAGCTCATGGTAACGGGTTTCCATGGCTACCACAACACCCAGGGCAGCTCAGAGGGGAGCTGGCCCAAGGGCCAAAGTCTGAAGAGGGTGTGGCAGAACTGGGGCGGGGTCTGTGCCTGCCCCCCAGAGCTCCGAGAAACCAGTTGGCCCAGAGCCAGAGCCTAAGACCACCCCCTCTCCTCTGCCTGCCTGTTCCCTGCACACCCAGTACCAGCCAGATAGAGGAGGGCAGGATTTGGGCATTCTGCAGAGGCCACATCTCCTTTGCCCTTAAGGGTAGGGAAACAAGTGGGAGGCAGGCGTTGGAGGGGGGTGGTATGTCGTCCAGTCTCCCAACACTCACTAGAGCCAGACCCGACACTGCCATGCTCATGTCTGAGCTGCGGAGTTTGGGGATTGCTCCTTCTCCATTCTGCTTTCCCAGGGCTGGTGAACCCCCAGGAAAGGTGACCCCCTCCTTCTAGGCCTTCGCCTCCCTCTACAGGTCCCCACACCTGGGACAGGGACAGTGACAGTTTTCTGGACTTGGTACTTGCCCCCTCCTGGGGTGGGGTGGACAGAGGGATTTTTGCCTCTTTGTTCTCCATCCTTGTTTGGGTGGGAGAACAATGTGCCCTACTTCCCAAGTGACACTGAGACCTGCTCTGCAATGGCCACCTGTAGGACTTGCTGTCTGTGCCCTGAGCCTGCCTGGCCTTAAGACCCTTTTGCCCTTTGGACCCGGTCAATTCTTTCCAGGAGCGAATTCTCCTTGGATACGTTGATAAGATATGCATTCGTGGTTTGCCAGCGCACAATCATGCACAGCATGAATTTCTTCTTTGTATCCGTCAAGCCCAGACCAGAAGCTGCCCAGTTGCACCAAGGAGGGAAAAAACATTGTCTGACATTTGTTCCCAGAAATGAGGAGTTTTGGAAGCCAAGTCAGGCTGTGGCCTGGATCTAGGATGCTTCTCCTTGTTATTTCTCCACATACGATTCCTCTTCTGCATTTAGACTAGTTGGCCATTTTGGGGAAAGAGCAAACTAAACACTTTTAAAGAAATGCGTTTTTATCATATCTAGTTAACTTAGTAGTGTGAAATAAGTTCATAAAATCTTGAATAAAGGTGCTCATTTCAGAATCATCTCTACTAGCATTACAAAATTTAAAAAACTGGGAATGACTTAATAAATTATAGCAAGTTAACTGATACCCAGCTGCTGTTTCAAAAAATAATTATGAAAATTATGTAGGAACATGGAAACATTAACACGTTTTCCATTAACATGAACTTTATGTGAAATGACCAGAGCAGAATACTGTGGAGTGTACTAACATTAACAAAGCAAATGTATTTCACAGGGCCTAGCTTCCAAAGCCCTGTAGTTTCAGGTAGAAGCTAACTTTTAAAAATTATATATGGAAATGTTAAGCTTGCAAAAGACAGGAAACTTTCCCCAAGCTAAAGTCTCTGTTGTAGATAAGGAATTGTAACACACAAAATTGCTGGCTCAAGGACATGTCCTTGGTTGACCTACTGATTAATATGTTAACAAAGTTGCTTGATTGTTGTGTAAAAATACTAAGGAAATTGCTGTAGGAAAAGACAGTTGTTTGCTAAGAACAAGCTTTTGTTGGTGGATCAACTTAACCTTTTACAAATTGCATTATGGAGCGTCACTTTGTTTATTTCACTGATGTTACTAGTTTCCATTTGTTAAAACTATACTTAGCCATAATTCTGCCCATAACCTTGTGTTCTTTGTAATGATTAAATCAACTGAATTTTCTTGTGAAACTTCCTTGCCTTTACAATAAAATGGATAAGCTAACTTTGTTTTTTTTTTTTTTTTTGTCTTTTTTCGTGACCGGCATCGGATTGCAACCCTCAGTGTTGCGCCCGTACTGGACCGGGACCGGCAACGGGATCGCAACCCTCGGTGTTGCTCCTGCACCTCGCTCAGCCAGTGAGCGGCCGGTCTGTATGTGGGATCCGAACCCTCGGCGGGAGCGCCGCCGCCCTTCCCAAGCGGCGCACTGTAGCAGTGCACCACCAGGCCGGCCCGATAAGCTAACTTTGAATCGCAGCTGTCACATTCAGCTTTCTCCTCCTGATGGGGAAATTACTGAAGTGCAGTCCTTTCGGGCCTCTCAATGCATACATAATGCTTGGAGTATTCTCGTGATTCTTTTTTACATCTCTGTTACACAGGGGGAAGTGTAACAGAATATACTAGTGCATGTGGATAAAATTGTGTTTGCCCAAGGACAGTAGTGTGCAGGACACCCCAGGAATAAGAGAGTGTGAGCCCCCATTTCTCCTAACAGTCCCCTCCTGACCACTTAGGTATTCGCTAAGGGAACACATGTTTCTCTGCTGTGCCCTGTTCCTTCGGAGTCCTCACCTGCAGAGTCGTCACCATCCGTATTTCCACCAACAGTGTTTTCAAGGCAATCCAGGTTTTTCTATCACGCTTCTTGAAGTTCTTCCAACCTCTTCCCATTGCCCAATGCTAAAGCCATTTCCATATTTTGGGATATTTAGGTGTTACAGGAGAACCCCACTTCCCACTACCAAAATCTCAACTAGTTTTCTACTGCTGTAACCAATTACCACCAACTTAGCAGCTTAACACAACACACATGCATTATCTTATGGCTCTGGAGGTCAGAAGTTCAACATGGTCTCACTGGGCTAAACTCAAGGTGCTGGTGAGCTGCCTTCCTTTCTGGAGGCTCTGGAGCGGGGGGGGGGGGGCAGGGAGAATCCAGCTTCTGGAAGCCTCCTGCATTTCTCGGCTCTTGTCCCTTCCTCCATCTCCAAAGCCAGCAACGCCACACTGAGCCTTTCTCATGTTGCCATCTCTCTGGTTCTCCCTTTTCCCTGTGATAATATCAGAGACCCCCAGGATAACCCAGGAGAATCTCCCATCTCAGGGTCATCTGATCAGCAAGCTTAATTCCACCTGTGATCTTTTTTTTTTTTGGCTGCTGGCTGGTACAGGGATCCGTATCTATAATTGTAACTACCCTTTTCCACGTAACTCAGCATATTTGCAGGTTCTGGGAATTTAAGAGATAGACACACCTGTATTGGGGAGACCATTATTCTGCCAGCCACAATCATCTTCCAGTTTGCTTCTAAAGACACTGTAATGCTCGTCCCCGGATCTTTCAGCTTTATCAGGTGGTTGGTTCTTTCTTCTTTCGGTGAGCGGCCAGGTCAGCTTGCTCGGACGTGTTCTGATGATACTGATCAAACTCTGTATGTCTCCTCCTTTCTCTGAGTCAGCCACAGCAAGAAAGTCAAGCTGATGGCAAAACCAAGCTCCTTCCTGCTGTTCCTTCTGCTTAGAGCACTCTTCCCCCAGGTCTCAGGTCAAATGTCACCTCTTTGGGGGGGTCTTCCCTAGGACTGCCCTCTCTAAAGCAACCCCACCCCTCGCCTGGCACTTCTAACACTTAACCCTGGCTATTGTCATAATGGACCTTAAGCATTGGTTTACTTGTGTTTTTCAACATTAAATCCATTAGATCCACTGCCTGGCACGTAGTAGGTGCTCAATAAACATTTGTTGAACGAATGAATGAATGTTCCTGATTCATGATGCTCCCTCCTCTGCTACACTCCAAAACACCTTATCCTCCATTCCTACACAAATCCCACCCATTCTTGAAGGCTCAGCTCACGGTTGACCTTCTCCTTGGAAACCATTTCGCTTCATTTTTTCAACGTTTATTACGTGCCAACAAGTGTCAAGCTCTCTCCCAGGCATTGAAGCTGCCCAGAAGGTTAACAACATGCTCATAGCAGACCCCAAACTAGACACAATGATTTTCCATTCAGTCCATTCCTGTTGCTCCGTGGTTCCTTTTTGCATGTGGGTTCGTTGTGTGTGTGTGTGTATGTGTGTGTGTTTTGAAGATTCTTTTAAAAAAATTTTTATTTTGGGGGCTGGCAAGTTAGCTCAGTTGGTTAGAGTGTGATGTTGTAACACCAAGGTCAAGGGTTTGGATCCCCATATTGGCCAGACACCAAAAAAACAAATAAAATTTTTTTTATGTATGAAGAGTAGGTGAGGTGGGGTAGATGTCTTGGGTATCCGTTCAAGGAAAATCAGTTAGTATGACCTGATGAAGACTATATTCTTTGCAAAACACTAGCGGCACATATTGAGGTCATATTTCCGAGTCAGATTGTGCTGGGTTTGAGCAGACCTGGTGCTGTGGTTTGAATGTGTCTCCCAAAGTTCATGTGTTGGAAACTTAATCCCCAATGCGACAGGGTTGAGAGGTGGGGCCTTTAACAGGTGATTAGGTCACGAGGGCTCTGCCCTCATGAATAGATTAAGGCTGTAATTGTGGGAGTGTGGGGTCAGTAAAAAGGATGAGCTCAGCCCCCTCTCTCGGGCTGTCTCGCCCATGTGAAGCCTTCCTCCATGTTATGATACAGCAAGAAGGCCCTGTCCAGATGCAGCTCCTCAGTCTTGGGCTGTGGAACTGTGAGTCAGATAAACTTCTATTGTTTATAAATTACTCAGTTTGTGGAACTCTACTGTAATAGCACAAAATGGACTCGGACACCCGGCGAGAGCAAGAACCCTGGCCGAATCTTCCCAGATGGCTCTGGAGACCATTTTGCTTTCAGGAGTGTGAGGAGGCCCCTGTGGTGCGTGTCTTCCTTGAAGACGGAATGTTAGGGTCCCTTCCATGCCTTGGGCCAAGCAGGATGTGGGGAGACAAGGGCAGCCCTGCACCAGCATCCATCCCCCGGCTGAGGAACTGCACAGGACAGAGGAGGAAATGCTCATGGCAGGAAACCTGTGCACAGGGGGTGTCAGGGGCCACCTCGCACTCCAGGTATCCTTTGTAATACCTGCCTCCTCGTCCTTCCTCCAGGGGCTGAGGAGCAGCCCTGGAGAAGGCAGACCGAGGACAGAAAGGCTGCTCACTGCTGTCCTAGACTGGACCTTCCAGAACTAGGGTGCGGCCCCGCCCTGTTCCTGACGTTTCTCTCCCAGTGGGTAAGCAACTCCAGAATGCAGGGCAATGGACTGAGGGTTTCACAAAGAAAAAGCTTTTCAATTTAAGGACTGAAATTTATTCTGTGATTACATCCTTCCTAGATAGGATGTACCTTTTCTTTTAAAATATCTTTTTCTCCTTTCGATTGTTGATGGGAGATACATTTTTTTAACGTTCTTATTTGCAAAATAAAAAGTACGCAGCCCCGATGTGAGTGAAGCAAATTTTGGTCTGTGAAATCTGGAAGTGCGGAAACCACTGGCCAAACCTGCTTCCCAACTGCCTAATTCGGGTTATGCTCGTGTCCTCATGTCCCCATAGGGCCAGAAGCCCCTCCCCAGTTCTGCTCTTTCCTGCTCTGCCGTCCCCATTTAAAATCCTCCCTGCCGAGACTCATTCATTCAAAAAACACTTAATGAGCCCCTACCATGTGCCAGCCACTGTGGATCCAGCAGTGAACAAATGGTCCGTAGCCCCCCTCACCTCCATCCTGTCCTTGCTAACTGCCCTGACCTTGACCTCATCTGAGAAACGCACTGTGATATTTTTAAACACAGTATGTGTTTGGTCTTCATCTATGTTCCTGTTCCTTTCCTGGCACAAAACTCCTAAAATCCTCAGAATCTCCAAAGTGATAAGAGTCTTTTGCATGCTAACGAGTTGAGTCATGGCTGGGAGCCCCTGGGTAGCTTCAGGATGGGGACTGGTCACAGGAAAGACCAAGCTAGGACTTTGAGTCCCAACCCCCAACCTCCAGGGAATGAAGAGGGGCTGAAGGTCAAGTTAATCAGGACTGTCCTAGGATTTAATCAATCGTGCCTACATAATAAAACTTCCATAAAAACCAAAGAGCACAGGGTTCAGGGAGCTTCCAGATAGCTGAACATGTGGAGGTTCCTGAAGGGTGGCGTGCCCAGGGAGGGCATGGAAGCTCTGGGTCCCTTCCCCGGGTACCTCGCCCCATGCATCTGTCTGTATCCTTTGTAATACCCTTTATAAGAAACCAGTAAATATGCTTCCCTGAGTTCTGTGAGATGCTCAGCAAATTAATCAAACCCATGGAGGGGGTTGTGGGAACCCCAATTTATAGCCAGTTGGTCAGAGGCACAGGCAAAACAAGCTGTAGCTTGCAAATGGCATCTGAGGTAGGGGGCAGTCTTGTGGGACTGAGCCCCAGACCTGTGGGATCTGACACTATCTCTGGATTTGAGCTGCAGGACGCCCAGCTGGTGTGCGCTGCAGAACTGGTTTGCTTGCTTGCTGAGCGGGAGAAATCCCACACTTTGGTCACGGATGGCTGTCTTCTGCATTGGTGTGCTTCTGCTGTGAGAGCAGGGGAAACAGTTTGTGTTTTCCCCTCAGTCACCCATCTTTCGACATCTTTTAATTCTCCCCACGCTAATTTCTCCTCGGCCTTCACTTATCTTTGCAGCCAGCTTGGCCCACAGTGGTCTCCAAACTTTTTGAATTGTGCCTCCCCATCAGTAAGAAAACTGTGACTGCAAACCTCCACTCTCTGTGTATTTATTTTGTGTAAGCTACGCACATGTATGTGCAACGTAAGGGATACAACACATTCGGATGGAATGGCAAAGGCAGGAAAGAGGAGATGACAGTCGCGGTTCCAACCCTTTCTTTTCTGCCGCCGTTTTGGGGTCCTTGCCCTCACTCCCCGCAAACTGCTCTCCCTGAGGTCACCGAGGCATTGAATCTGATGGACACTCCTTTCTGGTCCCAGCAAACAGCAGAGCTGGCAGCTCAGTCTTCGATGCCAGCTTCTCTGTGCCCCTTATTGGACAGTGTCCCACCTCCCACCTGTGATCCTCTGTCTGTATAGCCGGGGCCGTCTTGTGCACACTTGGGGCTTTAACCTGTTCTCAGATCTTTGGGAAAGGATTTGATCCCTTTGCTTCCTCTTGGGCTTGCCCAGACTCTTCTCCAGGCAGCTGGAATGATTCTCTAATTGCAAATCAGATCCGGATGCTCTGGCTCAAATCAGCCAGTGGCTTCCTGTCACATTCAGAATAAAATCCCAAATCCCCTTGGTAGCCTGCTACGTGTCCAGACAGTACCTCCTACCTCCTTCCCATCTCCCTTTCTGCTCCAGCGCCACTTGCCTCCCATCATGTCACTCCTGAACCGGGTCCAGCCCTTCCCACTTCGAGACGTTTGCATCTGCTGTCCCCTTGGCCAGTCCCACCCGTCTTTCGGGGCTGGCTCCCTTTCTCCGTTCAGGGAGCCTTCTGAGACTTCCCCAGAAAATAGCAGCTCTCCCACCTGCCACCCTTATGCCACTCTATTTTTCTTTATTGCACCTCACTCCAGGACATGGTTTTCTTCACTGCTGTAGCCCCAGCACCCGGGACAGTGCCCGGCACATAGTAGGTGCTAACAAATAGGTGTTGTTTCCCCAAATCTACATCCCTGCTCTCCTGAGCTCAGCCACACAGCCAACTTCTTCCTAGACACTCTTTGCATGTCCCATGAGCTCCTCTACCTCAACATGCCCCCAAATTATACGATCTTCTCCCAAAACCTGCCACCCACCTCCCCAAACCATTCACCATCAGCCCGCGTTAGAAACCTGGCAGAGATGCCGACCCCTCACCTCTGACAGCCGAGCTGTCCCCAAACCCCACTGCGCCACTCTCTGAGGGCTCCCTCCTATTCGGTCCTGCCGCTGCTGACTTTGCTGGGCCCTCAGTGCTTCTTACCAGCTGCTCTCCCTACCCAGGTCCACCCCCTCCTCATTCCTGCCAGGCATTCCCTGAAACCCAGGGATCACATAATGCCAGGATTGTCTTGACGATCAAGGTCAGACTCAGCTTCATTCACAAGGACCCTCGGGACCCAGTACAGCCCCCACACCTCCTGGCTGCGCTTTCAGACCCAACTCCTGGAGTTCCCCCAGATGCCTCCGCCTCTCTCTGTGCTCTCACCTGCGACGTCTGCTCTGCACCTTCCCACTGCTGTCTTCCCCAGCTGGAGAAAACTGACTTGTCTTTTCTAATTCCTCACCTCTCTTCTGGGCTCCCAGGCCTTTCCTCTTGCTGTATGTCACCAGCCCACGTATGCATGCGCACCTGTAAATGTTTCTACATGTAGTCATCTGTCTATATGAAGCTGCATGTGGCTTCATACCAAGGCCTCCACACCTAATCTGCTGCCACATGGATCATTCTAGACTCCCTCTCCTTGCTTATCTGTAACCTTCCACTGCGACAGTGAGAGCTGGCCCCACCGTCTGCCATCCAGTTACTTAATCGTTCATTCCCAGTATATATGTACAGTGGTTTCTTGCTGTATTGTACCCATGGGCTGGTTTGTCCCCAAGAGTAATGCTCATTCCCAAGCACTTACAGCTGAGAGTACTCAATCCATACCACTGATCTAAACACTATAAACATTTAATTCTCACAACATCCACAGGAGACATTTATTATTAATTCCATTTAACAGAAGAGGAAACTGAGGTTCAGAAAAGGTAAGTAACTTCCCCAAGCTGCACAATTACAAAGTGGCAGAACCAAGGTTTGAGGCCAGGGAGTAATGTCCAGAATCAGGACCCCTGTGCCCCGTGCCTCCACCCGGTGTTTAAGGGCCTGTTGTCAGTGTGAGCTGAGTTCATAACAGGGCATGGGCCCCTTGACTTCAGGGCTCTGACCCCCCCACTCAGCAGAGACAGCTTCATCTCTAGCTGCGTCTGTGCCCTTCCACACTGCAGATCCCTGCTGCAGGTCAGGGATGGCTCAACCACACATTATGCTATTTACTTCCTCTGGGTCCTCACTACTCTTGAGAGTTGTTTAACTCATTGCCGGTGGAACCCCCGTTCCACACCCACAGAAGATGCTCCCGGCTCCCACTGCTGCCTGCCCAGCCCCAGCCTCTGTCCCCCAACTCCCAGGAGATGTCAAATCCTGCCACAGGCCATTTGGCAGTCTCCTTTCCACACCTCAAGGTTTTCTCCATATTTTCGTACATACCCTCTTTACACACACACACACACACACACACACACACGCCCCTTTATTCACGTCTCTGAGAAAAGCCTTCAGCTCTGTGATATTTGTGCAGGGCACCGGCTCCTCCTCCCTTCCTCCCTCCCCCAGTCTCACCTTCAGGACCCCTCAATACTCACTACACACCTGAGGACATGCAGAAATGTCCCCAATCTTAAATTTAAAAACTCTCAGCTTTGTGACCCCCTCATCTCTCACTTTGCTTCCTCCTTCAGCAGACATTATCTGAGTGCCTCCCCCACACCAGTCCCTGTTCCAGGCCCTGGGCATCCAGGGAGAAGCAAAGCTGGCCAAGGCCCTGCCTTCAAGGAGCGACACCCAGTGCAGTCAAACGGCCTGGAGCAGCGGGAAACCCTCGCCTGCCTTCCACCTGCTCACACAGAAAAGGCACATCTTGGTGAAAAGTGATCAGGTTTGTTTTATTGGCTATACAGAAGCAAGTCCATTGTCCACTAACAATATAATTTATGATTAATAATTCTGACTCAGTTAATGTCTCCACAGGGACCTGTACTTCAGCTTTCTGGATGTCCCTATGTTTGACATCACACCTTCCAAGACAAGTATTTTTGGAGCAAGATCTGATCAGAGGAAGAATTCAGCTCTAAACAAATGCCCATGGCTCTCAGAGCACCCGTGGGGGCCACAGAGAAGAGTTAGTTTCTCTGGAAAAATCTGATTCCTTCTTTCTTGCCACCATAGTAACTATCTTTGTTATAAAAGCTGTGTTACCAGGAGCCACACGATGGCCAGCCCGGCAGGGTTGAGGGACAGCTGTTCACTTGACTCAGGGCCGGTGACAGGCCAGCCCGGCTCTCAGGATAGCACAGAAGCCCTTTGGATAGTCCCCTCTGGGCAGGGATAGGCCAGAGAGGAGGATGGCGTTTGACACTAGCTTGTCTTATTTCTGGATATTCAGACAACTAGAAGTCGGGGAAAAAAGGCCAGAGGGGAAGCCCTGCACAGAGCCACTAGACAGGCTCCTCTCCCCTGAGCTACAGTTCTGTAACGACAGGTGGAAAGACTCTCAGTTCCTCCTTTTCTGGGTAGGTGCTTGACACCTTGTTCATCTTGGTGAAAATCTTATTGATCTCAATGAATGTCTTGGCCTTGGTCTCGGGGACAATCATGAAGGTGTAGATGGTGGTGAGGAGACATATCACAGCAAAGATGATGAAGCTGTAGGCGCCGAGGCCCTTCTGCGAGAAAAAAGGCAGGCGAGGCCGCATGGGAAGGGTTTGCAAACAGAGTTTCGCTGCGCTGCTGGGGGATTTTGTGAATTTGGAGCCCCAGGACCTACTCACTTGGATGAATGGGAAGACCAGGCCCACGGTGAAGTTGCAGAGCCAGTGGACGCTGCCCCCCACCATGAAGGCGGCCGGCCGGGAGGACTGCAGGAAGATCTCGGTGATGAGCAGCGCCGGGATGGGACCTTGGGGGAAGGGAGGAGAGGTGTCTTCCCTGAAGGCGGAGCAGGCCCACAGAGGGTCCGCAGCCCCTGCACATGCAGGAGAGGAGGCACATGGCAGTTTACAAGCATGTGTCACAGAGAGGACAGCCTGTGATGTCCCGCTAAGTGGCCAGTGACTGCCGCGAGGCCCACTCTGCCAGGTGCACAGATCGGCATGTGTCCACTATGCCCTTGCTGTCCTGCTTTCTAAACTCTAATTACGCCGCCCAACCCCTCTGCAACAGGAGGAGGGGGAGAAGCCGTTTCGGCTGAGTTTGGCCCTCCCTGGAGCCTCTCTAAGGAGCTCAAGTCCGGAGCTTCTGGGGCTGATGGTGCAGTGAAACCACGAAGCCAGCTGTGGGTACATACTGGGCCCAAGGGCATGTCCTATGACGTAGGAGATGACACAGACGATGCTGACGTAAGGCATCCAGGTGATCGTGTCCTGTGGAGAGAAAATGGAGCCGACTCACACCCGGCAACGCAAAGACAAGCTGGGATGGGAACTTCAGGAACCTGGTCCCCAGGGAGGCAGCCAATCTGCCCCAGTGGCAAAGGATGGCACTGGCTCCTTGTGCAGCAGTGCACCCGAGCGAGCCACTGGAGCATCAGCTGAAAGTGGACTGCAGGCTGCTGGTGGGGGACACATGGCCCCCAGACCTCCGGCTGATCGTATCTGCTGAAACCAATTCCTGTTGATCCCTTTGCCTTTCATAAGGGCTGAGGGCACAGGGGGAAGGGGGATGGGGAGATGGCACTGGCCCCTTTCCCAGGCAGGGTCGGCGCAGCTCTGGGCTCTGCTTACCTGCAGGGCCAGCGCGGCTGTGAGCACGCAGCAGGCTACGAAGCACACGGTGAACCCCAGGAGCAGCAGGAGCCTCCTGCCCAGGAACTCCACCACGAACACCTGGAGGAGACAGGAACGGGACTGGCGGGACGGGAAGGAGGGAGGCTCAGGAGTCCAGAGTCCCCAAGCCCTCGTGGTCCATGCCCCCTGCTGCAGGGAGCTGCCTTCACGGGAAGCCCCTCGCCCACCCCTCACCCCCCTTCTGATGGGGCAGCTGGGAGGACAGCCAGGTGGGCCAGGTGCCCACCCATGAGTGTGCACAAGAATTGCCCCCGAGTGGCCAGTGGGGAGGCCTGGCTGTGTCACAGGGCCTCAGCTGCCCACACTGAATGAGACTCCGCCTCTAGGGCTTTCTGCTCCTACAGGCCTAAATCTTAGGATTCCCACAAGGGCTGGAAGCCAGATATGCGGTGCACCCAAGGGAGGATGCCCGCACGGAGGGCTGGCTCCCACCCAGAGATGGCCAAGCGTCACTCCAGCCACCGCCCAGGCACCGAGCCACTCAACAGTAGGCGCTGGCAGGGCCACTGTGCTGCCCAGTCCAGGGCTCCCTTCACCCTTGTCACACTGGCCCCAGGCACAGGTAGCAAAGGCCCCATACAGCCTGGTGGCCCCGAAGGTAAGATGTTGCAGCAGGGCCACCTCCCACGTGGGAGCTCCTGGAATGGGTGCTGGGCCTGCATCTTTGGGGGCCGTGGGCTTCCCCCGGGAAGGACAGGAGGCGGCTGTCCCCTCAGGAGAGCTGGGGGGCTGGCACCTGAAGGCCCGAGGGGCCTGGCACCACCTTCGGTCCAGACTCCTTCCTGGGCCGGAACCTCCCCACCCTCGAGACCTGCCTCGGTCCTCGGCGGCCGACAGGGCCGTGGCTCCCGGGGACACTCACGGCACAGAGCGTCATGACCACGTTGACAGCCCCGGTGCCGACCGTCACGTACTGGACATCGGTCTCGCTCACGCCGGCGCTCAGGTAGATCTGGTCCGCGTAATAGTAGATCTGGAAGAGACCGAGGCTGGGGGACGCCGCGGGGGCGCGGGCGGGGACAGGTGCAGGACGTCGCGTCGCCCCCGGGCACGCCCGCCGCCCCGGAGCCCGCCACCGCCCCGCGTACCGCGTTCACCCCCGACAGCTGCTGGCCGGCCATGAGCACGA